GAGGTGGCCAGCCCTCTGTAAAGGAAGAAGTGGTTCGGGACTATTTAGAAAAACTGGACATGCACAAGTCCATGGGGCCGGATGCATTGCATCCAAGAGTGCTAAAGGAATTGGCAAATGTGATTGCAGAGCCATTGGCCATTATCTTTGAAAACTCATGGCGATCGGGGGAAGTCCCGGAAGACTGGAAGAAGGCTAATGTAGTGCCCATCTTTAAAAAAGGGAAGAAGGAGAATCCTGGGAACTACAGGCCAGTCAGCCTCACCTCAGTCCCTGGAAAAATCATGGAGCATGTCCTCAAGGAATCAATTCTGAAGCACTTAGAGGAGAGGAAAGTGATCAGGAACAGTCAGCATGGATTCACCAAGGGCAAGTCATGCCTGACTAATCTAATTGCCTTCTATGATGAGAACTGGATCTGTGGATGAAGGGAAAGCAGTGGACGTGTTGTTCCTCGACTTTAGCAAAGCTTTTGACACGGTCTCCCACAGTATTCTTGTCAGCAAGTTAAAGAAGTATGGGCTGGATGGATGCACTACAAGGTGGGTAGAAAGTTGGCTAGATTGTCGGGCTCAAAGGGTAGTGATCAATGGCTCCATGTCTAGTTGGCAGCCGGTATCTAGCGAAGTGCCCCAAGGGTCGGTCCTGGGGCCAGTTTTGTTCAATATCTTCATTAATGATCTGGAGGATGGTGTGGATTACACCCTCAGCAAGTTCACGGATAACACTAAACTGGGAGGAGTGGTAGATATGCTGGAGGGTAGGGATAGGATACAGAGGGACCTAGACAAATTGGAGGATTGGGCCAAAAGAAATCTGATGAGGTTCAACAAGGACAAGTGCAGAGTCCTGCACTTAGGACGGAAGAATCCAATGCACTGCTACAGACTAGGGACCGAATGGCTAGGCAGCAGTTCTGCAGAGAAGGACCTAGGGGTGACAGTGGACGAGAAGCTGGATATGAGTCAACAGTGTGCCCTTGTTGCCAAGAAGGCCAATGGCATTTTGGGGTGTATAAGGAGGGGCATTGCCAGCAGATCGAGGGACGTGATTATTCCCCTCTATTCGACATTGAGGCCTCATCTGGAGTACTGTGTCCAGTTTTGGGCCCCACACTACAAGAAGGAAGTGGAAAAATTGGAGAGAATCCAGCGAAGGGCAACAAAAATGATTTAGGGGTCTGGAACACATGACTTCTGAGGAGAGGCTGAGGGAACTGGGATTGTTTAGTCTGGGGAAGAGAAGAATGAGGGGGGATTTGATAGCTGCTTTTAATTACCTGAAAGTTGGATCCAAAGAGGAAGGATGTAGACTATTCTCAGTGATAGCAGATGACAGGACAAGGAGTAATAGTCTCAAGGTGCAGTGGGGGAGATTTAGGTTGGATATTAGGAAAAACTTTTTCACTAGGAGGGTGGTGAAACACTGGAATGCGTTACCTAGGGAGGTGGTGGAATCCCCTTCCTTAGAAGTTTTTAAGGTCAGGCTTGACAAAGCCCGGGCTGGGATGATTTAGTTGGAATTGGTCCTGCTCTGGGCAGGGGGTTGGACTAGATGACCTCCAGAGGTCCCTTTCAACTCTGATTCTAAGAAATCCCAGCCAGCGTTTCACCCTAGCTGAGATTTGGAGGGCGTGTCATAAATATAAAGGGAAGGGTAAACCCCTTTAAAATCCCTCCTGGCCAGAGGAAAAATCCTCTCGCCTCGCTGGCACCTGACCAAAATGACCAATGAGGAGACAAGATACTTTCAAAAGCTGGGAGGAGGGAGAAAAACAAAGGGTCTGTGTCTGTCTGTGTAATGCTTTTGCCAGGGATAGAACAGGAATGGAGTCTTAGAACTTAGTAAGTAATCTAGCTAGGTATGTGTTACATTATGATTTCTTTAAATGGCTGAGAAAATAGCTGTGCTGAATAGAATGAATATTTCTGTCTGCGTGTCTTTTTTTGTAACTTAAGCTTTTGCCTAGAGGGAATCTCTATGTTTGAATCTAATTACCCTGTAAGGTATTCACCATCCTGATTTTACAGAGGTGATTCCTTTTTACTTCTATTAAAAGTCTTCTGGTAAGGAAACTGAATGCTTTTTCATTGTTCTCAGGTCCAAGGGTTTGGGTCTGTGGTCACCTATGCAAATTGGTGAGGATTTTTACCAAACCTTCCCCAGGAAGTGGGGTGCAAGTTTTGGGAGGATTTTGGGGGGAAAGACATGTCCAAACTACGTTTTTTTCAGGAACCCAGATAAAGTTTGGTGGTGGCAGTGGAAGTCCAAGGGCAAAGGGTAAAATAGTTTGTACCTTGGGGAAGTTTTAACCTTAGCTGGTAAAAGTAAGCTTAGGAGGTTTTCATACAGGTCCCCACATCTGTACCCTAGAGTTCAGAGCTGGGAAGGAACCTTGACAGCAGTCAAAGGCCTTTTTGGCATCTAAAGAAACGACACCTCAGGATTCTTTAGAATCTCTCAAAGCAGCAGTAGTATCAGCTGACACAAATGATCCGAGGTGTGTCTGTTATGAAGGAAGCCTGCCTGGTTTATGTGTGTCATGTGCGAGAGAACTTTGTCCAATTGCATAACAAGAGCTCTAGCTAAAATCTTAGTATCCCATTGATTAAAGAAATTGGCAGTACATCGTCCACAGTCTTTCCCAGGTTTAGGAATAACTGAAATTACAGATTCTCTTAGAGTTGGTGGGAGAATTTGCTCATTCTTGGCCACATTGAACATACTCAATAATCTAAGTGTTAAAGTTTTTGAGAACTTTTTGTAAAATTTAACAGGGACCCCATTTGCACCAGGAGTCTTTCAAACCTTCATTTCTTTTATAGCCTAAGAGAGTTTCAAAGCTTCCAGAAGGCCATCTCCCCAACAGAAGTTGGTCTAATGAAAGATATGACCTCACCCACCCTGCCTCTTTCGGACCAACACAGCTACAACAAGTCTGCACACAGCATGGAGAAATATTGATTACCACCTTCTTTATAACAACCGTTTACCTATTAAGACTGCTATCATGTCCTCCCTCAGTCGTCTCTTCTCTAGTCTAAACGTACACAGTTCTTCCAAGCCTCCCTCACAGGACATGTTTTCTACACCTGTTATCCTTTTTGTTGCTCTCTTCTGGACTCTCTCCAATTTGTCCATATCTTTCTTGAAGTGTGTGAGGATCCTGTCTCTTTAAGAGCTAGTCTGTGACTCATCTCTCTCTCTCTCTCTCTCCCCCCTTTCCCCCGCCCCCTTAGCAGCTCTAATAAGTTGACACATTTACCCTGAGGAGTTAAGTTAAAGTGGAGCAGCACCTCCTCCAAGTTAGACATGCTTTTACAGGCTGGATATTAATTTCAATAAAGAAACAGCTTCCTTGCACATGGGCTTATGATGCCTTCACCAGATCTCTAAAGAACACAACAGTGTGGTGCCCAAACACGAACACCATACCACAGGTAAGGCCTCACCAGTGCTAAGTAGAATGGAACAGTTATCTCCCATGTCTTTCACACAACACTTCTGTTAATACATCCCAGAATGACATTTGCCTTTGTCATAAATACAAAGGGAAGGGTAAACCCCTTTAATATCCCTCCTGGCCAGAGGAAAAATCCTCTCACCTGTAAAGGGTTAAGAAGCTAAAGGTAACCTCGCTGACACCTGACCAAAATGACCAATGAGGAGACAAGAGACTTTCAAAAGCTGGGAGGAGGGAGAGAAACAAAGGGTCTGTGTCTGTCTGTATGCTGCTTTTGCCGGGGATAGAACAGGAATGGAGTCTTAGAACTTTTAGTAAGTAATCTAGCTAGCTATGTGTTACATTATGATTTCTTTAAATGGCTGAGAGAAGAGCTGTGCTGAATAGAATGACTATTCCTGTCTGTGTGTCTTTTTTGTAACATAAGGTTTTGCCTAGAGGGATTCTCTATGTTTTGAATCTAATTACCCTGGAAGGTACCTACCATCCTGATTTTACAGAGGGGATTTCTTTACTTCTATTAAAAGTCTTCTTGTAAAAAAACTGAATGCTTTTTCATTGTTCTCAGATCCAAGGGTTTGGGTCTGTGGTCACCTATGCAAATTGGTGAGGATTTTTACCAAACCTTCCCCAGGAAGTGGGGTGCAAGTTTTGGGAGGATTTTGGGGGGAAAGACGTGTCCAAACTACATTTCCCAGTAAACCCAGTTAGAGTTTGGTGGTGGCAGTGGAGATCCAGGGACAAAGGATAAAATTAATTTGTACCTTGGAGAAGTTTTAACCTAAGCTGGTGAAAGTAAGCTTAGGAGGTTTTCATGCAGGTCCCCACATCTGTACCACAGAGTTCAGAGTGGGGAAGGAACCTTGGCATCTGTTCTGCCCAATCTTGTGAATCTAAACTCTTTGGAATTTTTCATTCTCTGAACATTTTTGATATTTTAGCTTTTTGTTCTAATTCTGAACAGAAACAAATTTTGAAATGTCAAAATTCACATTGGAATAAAAATTGCATTTTTGACCAGCTCTAGAAACAAGAGCACTACAGCAACCCTGACACCGTTGAAGCACTGGGCCAGCTGAGCTCCCTGCAGTGCTCTGTGACGTGCCGTATACATTCGCAATCACTAGCTGCGTTGGTCAGTCGGCTGGCAAGTCTGTGCTCTACATTGTTCTAACGGTGCCATGGTGGAAGGTGGTACAAACATCCTCACTATCGCTCTCAAACAAACAACAGCCTAGCTGACAAAACCCCCATTACATACATATAAGGCTGTTTCATTTATAGTTCCGCATTACACATGCTTTTCAATGATCAAGGGATGGTGACCTAAGTTCATGCAGTTTGTGAGAGATCTGTTCCAATCTCTGACAGGCACTCGCTTCTCACATTCTATTATTCCTATTTCTCAGAATGGCTGCTGGACATCATACCATTTTATGCATTTACATTCTTCCTTTATCAAACTGCAGATGGTGTCCCAGAACATGTTAGGTTTTTTTTTTTACAAGTAATGCAAAAAATAAAGTCTGGGAAGTACCTCTGAGTCAGAAATATTGCCATTCAACACCTCGATATCGGGGTCCCTCCAATCCTCAGTGATCGATGGAATGTAATTGTCTGTTAAAGCATCCCAAACCCTGAAAGTAGAAAAACATGTTAATAGCTGTCAGGTGGGTCCAACCCTGCCTAAATGAAAGAAAGGCTCACCTCAAGAAAGCATGCTCTGTTCAAAACAGCCCTGAAACAACATTCATAGATTCATAGATTTTAAAGCCAGAAAGGATAAGTATGACCATTTACTCTGACCGCCTGCATAACACAGGCCAGAGAACCTCAGCCAATAATTTCTGCATCAAGCCCATAACTTCTGTTTGAGCTATAGCATATTTTTAGAAAGATATACAGTCTTGATTTGAAAATTTCAGAGATTGAGAAACCAATTGTTGATTATCCTTGCTGTTAAAAAAAAACTGTGTCTAATTTCTAGTCTGTATTTGTCTAGCTTCCACTTCCAACCATTGGACCTTGTTCTGCCTTTGTGTGCTAGTTTAAGGAGCCCTCTGCTCTCAGAAATCTCTTTCCCCTTGTAGACTGTGATCAAGTCACCTCTTAACCTTCTCTTGGATAGACTAAATAGATTGATGTTCTTTAGTCTCCTACTACAACACAGGCTTTCCAGACCTCAGATTATTCTTATAGCTTTTTTTTGAACCCTTTCCAATTTTTCAACATTAGAGAGACAAGACCATGAAGGAAATGGAAATACCAGTGCACCACCTACTACATTCTGTGTGGCTGAGTGACCAAAGCATCTCCTTCAGAACAAGGATTTAAATAGCCAAGAACTGGCCTTGCAAGCTGCAGCAATTAATGCAATCTCTGACTCCACTCCCTCTAGATCCAGCCAAAAATCAGCTACGGAGAAGAGGATTTTTAAGTATTAAGAGTTTTGCAGCACAGGTGAAACTATTACAGAGAGCTCTCTTTAGTCAAATGGACCGGTAGTTACAGTCTGCTAAAAAAAGGAATGAGGGGGAAAAATAGCACTTTAGACCAAACAAAATGGCTGCAGCCAGACCCCAGGTCCAAGGCACTGAAGCAACAGAATCAACAACTACCACTACCTCCATAATGGCAATAGGGATAGTTGACGTTACTGGTGAAAATATGACGATTGTGATAGGGAAAGAATGGGAAATAGACAGTGTGTTCCTCGCTGCAAGGTATTCTGGATGGCCAGCAACAATGACAAATGGACTGAACTTCAAGGGGAGCTGAGATAGGGAATGGCTGTGGCTCACCCCAACCCCCAGACAGCTCTCTGAATTCTGGCTTTCCTCCTTGCTATCTACTTTTGCAAACTAATGTAAATTGAAAACACAGTAGGCCACCCCCCTCCAGCAGATAATGATTGACCCTGCTCTATTGTAATTAGACTGCTTATCTATAAGAACAGACAAGCAATTTCAAAGGTAATTTAAGAAGAAAGAGGAGGGCCCCTTTTGCCTGTGTCTTGTCTGGAGATCTAGCTACACATGTGCTATGTGCATAAAGGAGGAGGAGGAGGCTCACTGAGACATGAGAACATGCACAGCCCAGTTAGAACTTTCAGAAAATGAATGGGGAAGTGTTTAACAAGTACCACTGGGCACGTATAAATGGTGATGTTGTGAGAGTTATAACAGACAAATCTGGACAGATTTTCAAGAGCGCAACACGTGTGACCTAAGAACTGTCCCTTGCCAAATTTCAAACATCTGCTAAAAACAAATGGAGGCAAGAGACCTGTCCATGGAAATGGTTGGGAAAATATTTAACATTGACAAAACAACTTACTCTTCAATAATCTTGTTTTCAGAAACAACTGAATCATTTTTTGCTGAAACATTCAAAAAAACTCAATCTTGGCACAGACCCAGAGTAGAAATTTTCAGCCTGAAGCATTCAAGTTTGGCCAAGTTATAAGTAAATGAAAACAGAGGTTTCAACAAAAAGTGCTAGACAACTTTATCTACTGCTATTGCTACCGTAATAATACCAAGAGGTAAATAGTGGTTTGCTGTGACCAGTGTTCAACATATTTATAAATCAGGTGTTCTCAAACTGGGGGTCGGACCCTCTCAGAGGGTCACCAGATTATTACATGGGGGGGTCGCGAGCTGGCAGCCTCCACCCCAAACCCCGCTTTGCCTCCAGCATTTATAAAGGTGTTAAATATATAAAAAAGCATTTTTAATTTATTAGGGGGGTCACACTCAGAGGCTTGCTATGTGAAAGGGGTCACCAGTACAAAAGTTTGAGAACCACTGTTATAAATGATCTGGAAAAAGGGGTAAACAGTGAGATGGCAAAGTTTGCACACAATACAAAATTACTCAAGATAGTTAAGTCCAAAACAGACTGTGAAGAGTTATCCTGAAGGAAGACCCATCACTCTCACAAATCTTAGGAGACAGGCCAGTCCTTGCCTACAGACAGCCCCCCCCAACCTGAAGCAAATACTCACCAGCAACCACACAACAGAACCACTAACCCAGGAACCTATCCTTGCAACAAAGCCCGTTGCTAACTGGGTCCACATATCTATTCAGGGGACACCATCATAGGGCCTAATCACATCAGCCCCACTATCAGAGGCTCGTTCACCTGCACATCCACCAATGTGATATATGCCATCATGTGCCAGCAATGCTCCTCTGCCATGTACATTGGTCAAACTGGACTGTCTCTACGTAAAAGAATAAATGGACACAAATCAGATGTCAAGAATTATAACATTCATAAACCAGTCGGAGAACACTTCAATCTCTCTGGTCACTTGATTTCTGACCTAAAAGTGACTATTCTTCAACAAAAAAACTTCAAAACCAGACTCCAACGAGAGACTGCTGAATTGGAATTAATTTGCAAATTGGATACAATTAACTTAGGCTTGAATAGAGGCTGGGAGTGGTTGAATCATTATACAAAGTAAAACTATTTCCCCTTGTTTATTCCTCCCCCCACACACACACACACACTGTTCCTCAGACGTTCTTGTTATCTCCTGGAAATGGCCCACCTTGATTATCACTTCAAAAGGTTTTCTCTCTCCCCACCCCACTCTCCTGCTGGTAATAGCTCATCTTAAGTGATCACTCTCCTTACAATGTGTATGATAAACACCCATTTTTTCATGGTCTGTGTGTATATAAATCTCCTCACTCTATTTTCCATTTTATGCAACCGATGAAGTGAGCTGTAGCTCAAGAAAGTTTATGCTCAAATAAATTGGTTAGTCTCTAAGGTGCCACAAGTACTCCTTTTCTTAAAGTTAAAAGTTATTTCTGTGAGAAAGGTTAATGGTTCATAGGTAGTGCACTGCAATGATAAGGTGCTTCTGGAGGCTTTGAGGTCTACTTATTGCTAGTAAATATTTATATCACAGTGGCACCAATCACAGAATCGAGCTGCACTGTGCTAAGAGATGTAAAGACAGTTACCGTTCTGTGGTTTGCTGTGGAAGTACTATCTTAATTCTGAACTTCTGGGTTTCTAACATGTTTTTAACTCTAAAACTCCTGAAAGGCAACACAGATTAAAACATTAATGTGTATGACGGATCCACAGGGTACAACATGAATGGCGGGAAAACTTTGCCCCCTTAACTCTCCAGCCTGAGCTTTCTCTCACAATGTTATGCTGGTGACAAGCCAAACCCCTCCAGGTGCCTGTTCTCACACAGCCTTTACCATACAGAGACAAACTCAGTGAAGTTGCATGAATGCTCTCCAAGCCACTCATGAACTGTATACAGGGAGATGCCAGCATATTTCCCCCAGACTCAATCTTGTACTCCAGAAATGTCCTGTCTTACACTGCTCAAGACTTCTCATGAACAGTACAAGTTCACTAATTAGTTTGCCACTTTGCCAAAAGATAGTGGACATGTACCAGCTTTTGTAATCTGACCAGATTCCCCAAGCACTTCAGACAAACTCACTGGTTAAAATAAAACATTAAAATAAGATTATTAACAAAAGAAAGAAAGATCGATTTAAATGATTATAAGTGTTAGGCATAGAGGTCAGAGATTGTTATATAAGAAATAATAAATAAAATTTCAGTCTAAATCCTGAACTTTATCAGACTAAGCAAGATTTGCATGGAAACAGTTTTTCTCACCCTACTGGATGCTACAAGCATCTCACAATTCTTAATATATAGGCTGAATTTCCTTCTCAGCCTGGGACCAGTCTCCTCAGTCCAAAGTCTTTATCTTCCCAGTGATCTTGTTGCCTTCAGAGTAGGTGGGGGAAGAGAGATGTGGTCTCATGATAACACTGTCCCTTATTTTATACTCTCAATTCATGTCCCAGGAAAGATACTGGCCCAGACATGTCCTGGTGGACCTTCCTGAGTCACAGAGTTGAGCAATCCCCAGTGTGTGGTGCTTGCACAGCTGTCTCCTATTGAATTATAAGTCTCTTATTTACAATTCCCCTGCTGGTCAGTGGTCATTTATCACCTGCCTGGGTGTGGGTCACAACCCTTGTTGCCATGTGAGAGCCAGACGTGGGCGTCTCCCAGACTCACAACATATTTAAATAACAACCATACAGCAAAAGCCTATAACTTCATGCTCAATAACGATATACATATTTTGACAGAATAATGAGTTTCAGCAGTCATGACCATTCATATGATACCTTACATGGCATCCTTTGTATGACATATCACAACTATATACAAATGACAACTATGGGGGTTACACAAGGTGCTGTTTTGAGGTACATCACAGTGTGCATCACAGTGTGCATGTACCTTTGCATTGCCTTAGCAACATTTTCTGTGTGGGAAATTCCTTAATTTTTTTAAGATCCTAATATACAACTGGGCAGTGCAGGGGCTTTGTGGAGTATTCTTTAGTGCATTTCGTAAGAGTCACAGGAGGAGAGCCCCTTGTACTTCCACCACATCCATCAAGATCTATCCAGGTCTTAAAGACTGACCCACTGACCAAACTGGGGACGAGGGACAACAAAATGATCCCAGGAAAACTCTGCACAGGAACCTCACATTTCCTCTCTCCTCTTCTGTGGATTTTAACATGGGAGGGCAAGATCTGCACATTAACGTTTTCTTTAACTGGAGCTCA